GAGTATGAGATATATATATGTCTCATATTCCATCATATATATATTGAATTTATTCCTTTTTATGGCTGAGTAGTACTCCATCATATATATACATATATATATATGTATATATGATGATTCATATATATATCATCATATATATATGATGGAGTACGATATATATATAATATATATATGATGGAGTATGAGATATATATAATATGTGATGGAGTATGAGATATATATAATACATATGATGAAGTATGATATATATATGTATAATATATGATGGAGTATGAGATATATATGTATATCTATATATATATAGATATATATAGAAATATATATATATGATGGAATACTACTCAGCCATAAACAGGAATAAATTAACATCATTTGCAGTGACCTGCATGAGATTGGAGACTACTGTTCTAAGTGAAGTAATTCAGGAACAGAAAACCAAACATCGTATGTTCTCACTGATACGTGGGAACTAAGCTATGAGGATGCAAAGACATAAGAATGATACAATGGACTTTGGGGACTTAGGGGAAGGGTGGGAGGGGAGCAAGGGATAAAAGACTACAAATATGGTACAGAATATACTGCTCAGGTAATGAGTGCACCAAAATCTCACAAATCACGACTAAAGAAAGGACTTACTCATATAACTAAACACTAACTGTACCCCAGTAACCTGTGGAAAAATAAAAAATAAAAATAAGGGACATCATAGTGGGATTTCTCAAAAGAGAGACTTTCATCAGTATTTAAGTAGAATATTATGTTAAATAAGATTCAATTGAGAAGCAAAAAGACCATCTTTATATTTTGTATTTTCTTTTTCTTTTCTTTGAGTCTTACTCTGTTCCCTAGACTTGAGTGCAGTGGCATGGTCATAGCTCACTGCAGTCTTGAAATCCTGGGCTCAAGCAATCCTCTTACCTTGGTTGCCCAAAGTGTTGGGATTACAAACATGAGCCGTCATGTCTGGCCTGCATTTTCAGGGGAGAGTGCTCTGGGATTTTATTTTTTCAGATGTGAATTCATGCTCAGCTTAACAAGTAACTTATTTCCTCATAGAATATATACATGTTACTTGGTTTCGCTCTTAGTATATATAGTTATATATCTAGTTAATATATTGCTTGACATTTTTGGAGAGAGGAAAAGTTCTTCTCTGGGATCTGATTTTGTTTAATTTCCCTAGTGCAAACACCTCTTTGTGGATCCCAAAAAGGAGTTGTGGCCTGGGTGCAGTGGCTCATGCCTGTAATCCTAGCCCTTTAGGAGGCTGAGGTGGGAGAATCACTTGAGGTCAGGAATTTGAGACCAGCCTGGCCAACATAGTAAAACCTCAAAACCCTACTAAAAAAAAAAAAAAAAAAAAAAAAAAAAATGAGCTTAGCATGGTGGCATGCACCTATAGTCCCAGCTACTTGGGAGGCTGAGACAGGAGAATCGCTTGAACCTGTGAGGCAGAGGCTACAGTAAGCTAGAAATCAGTAATATGGACTGCTGATTTTGTGTAACTTTTTTTTTTTTTTCTTTGAAGAGACCAGACTGTTTGCCCTATACAGTTTCCAGTAGTCTGTATATTTCAGCAAGTATCCCTGTGGTATAATTTACGTGTTCTTCTGTCTTCTTGAACCTCTATGTTTTTATAAATTGATAGTTGGATTTAGACACTGATTAGATTTAGAGTTTATTTTTCTTTTTCTAAGGCTCTTCACGGGTAGTGATGTGTTCCTTGATCATGAGACTTGTAATAGTTGTCTTTTTTGTGATGTTCAGTGTCTAGATCTCTTAGTTCATTAAAATCTGTAAAGTGTTGATCTAATTCGATTATTCCTCCTTCATTTACTAGCTGGAATAATTTTATAATGAGAAACTTATTATTTCTCTATCTAGTAATACAGTTTGTATACGAAAGGTGAAATAAAAGCTTGTTTCTCTTTATTTCCTGGTTTCTCTTCCCTCACTCCCTTTCTCTCTTCCTCCCTTCCTTTCCTTCCTTTCTTTCGTGGGGTTCTCTGTCGCCCAGGCTGGAGTGCAGTGATGCAATGATAGCTCCCTGCAGCCTAACTCCTGGAATCAAGAGATCCCTGCTTCAGCTTCCCGAATGGCTGGGACTACAAGTACACACCTGTTTGGGTTTTGTTTGTTTGTTTGTTTTTTGTTGGCAGCAGGGGGGAAGTGGTAGAGATTGGGTTTTCTTACATTGCCCAGGCTGGTCTTAAACTGCCAGTTTCAAGTAATCTTCTTGCCTCTGTCTCCCAAAGTGCTGGGATTACAGGCATGAGACACCGTGCCCAGTCTGGTTTTCATTATAGTGTGTTCTCTAGCTTAGTCCATTGGTGATTATTTCTTTTATATCAGTATGCACTCATTGATTTAAACATATTTAATGTTTCAATTTGTAGCATTTATTGTTATTATTGATGTGTAACTTCTCACATCTTTGGCCAGTGGAAACCTTTTCAGATCCTTTTGTTACAACCATAACAGTCTTTGATAGCTTTTTCAATCTCTGGGTAAGATGTTCCAAGCTCACTCATCATGTGTATTTCTCCATTTCTCCAAGGAGCCCTGATTCCTTTTATTTTATTTTTAAATTATTATTATTATTATTTTGACTAATGCTATTTTAAGAAAACCTGATTCTTTTTTATGAAAAATGGTACTCGCAAATCACAATCTGGATGCTAGGAGTATACATTTCTACAAAATTGGCCATTATTTGCAAACCTCCCACAACTAGAAAATACACATACATGTGAGTGTGTGTGTGTGTGTGTGTGAGAGAGAGAGAGAGAGAGAGAGAGAGAGAGAGAGAGAGAGAGAGAGAATGAGTGTGTGTATGTGTGTTCATTTAAGATGAAATGCATTGTGAAGTTTAAACTGATACTTCTAATTTAAAATGAACACCATAAGGATGCTTGTTCTCTCCTACATCTTCCTTTCTCCCTTGCCAAAAATCCCATTTTCTTAAGGATGTTGGGGATGGCAGAATTATAATATCCCAGTTTGCTCATTGGCTTTGTTCCTCATCAAGTTATCGCAGGATGGCAATACTAAAACGGTCACTATCGGCACAGTTACTGAAAATGTAAAGAATCTAATGATCCACTTCATTGGTTGTAGGTGTTCTGGTTTTTTTTTTTTTCCTTATGTCAGTTTTGATAAATCAGACTTTTTAATAGGAATATGTCTTTCTTCTAAGTTTGTAGTTATTGGCACAAAATTGTCCTGTATCCTTAATATCTTTTAAACCATTGCTATCAATGGAATTGTATTCTCCTTTACATTGTTACCATTATTTATTTGTACTTTGTTTTTCTTGCTTCATCACATCAGAAGTTTGTTGTTTTCGTTAGTCTTTTCTAATGAAAGAAATAAGTTTTGGCTTTTTTGAGCCCTTCTAATAATTTATATTTATTTCTGATTTTTCACCTCTTCTATTTTCTTTGGACTTATTCTTTTCCTTCTAACTTCTTAGATGGATCACTTACCTCATTTATATTTATTTCCGATTTTTCACCTCTTCTATTTTCTTTGGACTTATTTTCCTTCTAACTTCTTAGATGGATCACTTACCTCATTATTCACTAGGCTTTGTTTCCTCATATAAATATTTAAGACTACTAATTTCCATTTAATGTGTTGTTAAAAATAGCAATTTGTTGGACACTCAAATGTGATAGAGTTCATAGTTCTATGAGTTTTTCATGCAGTGTTTTTGCTATCTTCCTGAGGATGAAATTTTCCATCTTTCAGCAAAGCAGTCTTGGTAATTTCTCCCTATTTTTTGTTTATATTATAACTTCATATACAGTACGGGCGTACCTTGTTTTACATATTGCATCTATTTCTAAATGTTTTATTTGTCTCTTTCTGAGTCCTTCCATAAGTCCTGTTAAGTTAAAAAAAAATTAAGTCAGTTTTATGAGGTATAATTTACATGAAGTAAAATTCATACCTTATATATATAGTTTTATGAGATTCAACAAACACATATAGTCACATAATCTTTGCCATAATCAAGATACATAAGAGTTCCAAAAAATTTCACACATGCGCTCAGTAGTTTCCCCTTTCACCATTCTCTCTATGGTGCCTGCCTTTTCTTCAACTTCGAACTAGTTGGTTTCCCTGTAACCTCAGCTTTCTTAGGAGTTCCAAAAAAAGTTATACTCTTGGAGATTGTATGGCTTTTGTTATTGTTAGGGTGGGAATGATGCTCTTTCCAGCCAGACACATTATTTTTCTTATCAAGTTATTTTTGATAAATTCACATTTCCATATATCATTTAGTATTAACACTACTGTTTGAATATCTTTCTTCCATAGATGTATTTTCTTTCATATTCATGTGTATCTTCACTGAAATTTTATTTAGTTCTGCAGTGGTCTCTTAGGTACTTACTTAATTTGTATTTGAAATCTTTTTAACTTTAGAGCTAAAAGATTAGCATTTTAATATTTACATTTCAAGTTTATAAATACTCAGATCTCCTGATTTTTACTAAAAATTAAATATTGGCATAAATTCATGTGAATTATACTCTACAACTGGAGGACTTGTTTTGTTCACATGTAATCAAAGAAACATTAGAAAAACATTAAAATGGATAACTGTTTAATTGCTAGATTTACTCTTCCTTGGGCTTATCATTTTAGTGTCCTTTGCTATTTTTAAGATGATATGAAAATTCTTTATTACATAATTGTATTAATTGATTTTTTTTGAAATATTAATAAAATATTTTTGAAAATATTTCATCTGAGGTATTGGTACCTGTTGTTTTAAAAATGTGGTATTAGAAAAAGGTTTTGATGAATTATTTTTTATCAGGTATCTATAACTTACTAAATTGATTTTAAATACTGTATTAAGTAAATGATAATGTGTCATGTTGGAAACAATATTGCATATTCTAACCTAATTTTACCTACTCATTACTTTCATGGACTTTAATAGTGGGTTACTAAAATTTTTTTTTCTTTTTCCCTTTTTATAGGTTATTTTAGTGTCTGCCAACAAATTGACTCGTTATATAGAACCATGCCAATTAACAGAAGATTTTGGTGGGAGTCTTACCTATGATCACATGGACTGGTTAAATAAGAGGCTGGTTGGTATATTCAATGAGATAAAATGTTACTGCATATAAATAAGATACATTTTGATAACTATCAATTTATTCTATTAAAATATATTTTTATTTTTACAAAAATGGAGAATTATGTGCATACCACATTATAGCATAATAGACAAATACTATGAAGTCAGAATTACTTGATTGGAATCCTGATGCCAGTTGCTAGGTATATTCAACAATGTGTTTAATCTTGCCTTGGCTAGAGTTCCACATTTGTAATATAGTGAAAATCATAGTACCTACCTTTGTGTGATTATGGGTAAAGTGAAATGAATATACATATAAAGCATTTAGAACAGCAGCAGGCATGATATAGTAGCACCATGTAAGTATTAGCTATTACTGTTCTGTCATTAGTAGCATTAGTAGAAGTTGTAACTATTTTAAGTAGAATAACAGTAGCATAATTTCATGAGGGGATCTAGTTGCTATACCATTTTCACAGGGTACTTAAACATTTATTTGAGTTATCAACTTGAAGAGTAGTTTGACAGATTAAGCATTTTCATTTGTGAAAATATATCATCTTCGGCAGTCTAGACTTCTGAAATCTTCTACTCTGTAATTTGATTTTTTTATTGAACTACTGAAAGAACAAACGTCATATTAATTCATTTTACATTAAATGCTAATTTAATTGGAGAGTAGTGAATTTTTGTTTATATCTGAATGGATAACTAATTCTGTTTCCACCCAATTTATTTATTTAGAGACAGGGTCTTGCTCTCTCACCCAGGCTGAAATGCGGTGGCGTGATCACAGTGCACTGCAACCTTGAACTCCTGGGCTCAAGCAATCCTTCCACCTCAGCCTCTCAAGTAGTTGGAACTGCAAGAGCATGTCACCATGCCTGACTGACAAAGGCTTTATTTTTTGTAGAGATGGAGTCTCTATGTTGCCCAGGCTGGTCATGAACTCCTGGGCTCAAGCAACCCCCCTACCTCGGCCTTGCAAAATACTGGGATTACAGGCCTGAGCCAACGCACCCAGCCTATTTCCACCATATTTAAAAAGTGATATCAGACAAGTGATTGTCCACTTTATTACTTATGTTTAAACAGACTTCCCAAATTCCATTTCAGAAATATTTGAAGAAATCATTAAAATTATAACTAATTTTTAGTTCTATATGCACGTATATAACAACTATTATATGAAACCAACATGTGTTGGTGATAGAATAACGTAAAGAAACATTCTATAACTGTTATAGAGACTTAGAAAGTTCTGAATTACATTTATGTAGTGACAACTGTTATCAATACAAATGTTTCTCAAACATTTATCTGAATGGAGAATGAAGATAATTTATTGATGTATTTAAATTTTAAAAATTCTTTATCCATGAAACTATTCATTGCTTTAGGAAACAGTTTTGTCTTCTCTTGCATATATTGTTGTGCTCTGGTGGTAGAATTGCACTGACTACTGGGGAAGGAAAACAAATCCTAGCTGGCCAATTCTATTGCTCTTAACTGACAGTCCTTATTACATATTAATTTTTAAGACTGTTCTTAATATGTTAATAAAACTCATAGGTTTTTGAGAAGTTTACAAAGGAATCTACATCATTGTTAGATGAACTTGCTTTGATTAACAATGGAAGTGATAAAGGAAATCAGCAAGAGAAAGAAAGGTAGGTGACTATTGGTATGCAATTATATCCTTGCAAAACTATAATTAATCTGATACAAGATACCTCTGTAGTTAATGCAAGCTAAAAGAAATACAATAAACAATTCTTCATTCAATCAAAATTGACATACAATATTCATGAGAATTTGCTTTACATGTAAAACATGCTGGTGTGAATCAAAGTTTTTTCACAAAAGCCATTTTTAAATTTATAATATATTTTTTTTAATTTTCAAATGAAACAATTTTCTACCTTTTTAGAGTTATCTTCTTTGCTGGTTAAGAATATGAAAAAAGTTGCAGTTTGAAATACAATTATTATAACCTTATTTGTCTACATTAGCTCTTAAATGTCTAGCTTGTAGAACTTTTTCTGTCCTTGTAAAATATGTGGTATTCATGAATTGGACTTGGGGAATTTAGTGCTTTATGACATGAGATTAAATAATACTTGAGTTGTATTATCTGAATATAACTACCTAGATTTATCATGTTAACAGATTTCCCTTGAACTTTACAACCTTGTCAGCTTTCACTTTTCTGTCAGTAGGCCAAGTCCCTCTTCTCAGGTAAAAAGCACTTTAGCAAGCAAATTAGCTATTCGTGCCACTTGATTATTACTGGTCACTAGAACAGTAATTTCTCATTAGGAAATGTGAAAGAATTCTTGTCTTCCCTGTCATCCTGTCTCCTTTGAATCCGACCTTGAAGATACAGTGGAACCTTGATAAAATGCTTGTTGTTATTCCATGATTCCAAATATAGTCACATAATAAAGTTTTCAAGTGTAAGATCATAGTTTTTACACAAAATCTTGATTAAAACAAAGTCAAAATGTGAAAACAAATGGTTTGAATGTAAATCTGATTAAAGTCGCCACAAGCAGTTAGGAATGTTTCTATCCTACCGATGTCATATAAAAATGTAAAATTATAAAATTTGGCATATGTAAATAAATACGTGATTGTGTGTTTGTAAATATCACACACATATATGCTTTGGCTTAGGAATTGAAAATATCACAAGCTACTTGATGAAAATTAGCTGGACTTCCTTGCTTTCTGAATAGCCCATCAGAGTAAGTTTGATGTTTCTTAGCTGTATTCCTCGGGAAAGACATCCCATGTTGAAAATGAGTCCATGGTCAAAGAGTTTGATGCTGTTGACTATATTTCCTTCTTTGAGAATGACTGTGAATATTGCAGATTTCAGGTTCTGAAGAAGCAGTGCCAAAGAAACCTATTTAATTGCTTCTTTAAAACATACCTTGTTCAGTGTTTGGCAAATACTTTGGGAAGTGCTAGTTTGCACAACTATGTGAAATATTAAAATCTTGTATTTGCCAGTTCCTCCTCAAGGAACTCATTATTGCTTAGTTTCTTTTAAACCCCAGATCCCGGTTAATAGAGTCTCTCCTCTTGCAAATTTTTATCAACCTTCTTTTTTTTCTTCAATCTTCTTTATGTCAGTTCTCAGGAAGCATCTAGCTACACAAGACCTGAGGGCCTAGATCAATTGATAAAAACTAAAAAATTTGGTACAAGACTGGTCAGTTACAGCAGCAAGGTCCTTGTCCCCTTTCTTTCCTTTATCTTCTCTTTCCTGTATGTGTTTAGGAAAATAAAGGCAGATGTCCAGCTGCACAGGAAGTATGATTAAAATAGGGAAGAGAGTACAACTGCTAGGACACAGGGAAGGAGACACACACACACACATACACACACACACACACACACACACCCTTGGAATGTAAGACAGAGTATTCGCAGCTATCAAAGATTGCTGTAGGTAAATAAAGTTTTCACTGGAGGATGGCTGCATGCATTTCTTAATGTTACATTTCTGGATTACTATATGACAAACTTCATTTTGAAACATATTCATTGGATAAATGCTAAATGGACTTCTTTGATACATTTGAAATCATATTATGATTAACAACAATAAACTATTTTTCCAAGTAGTATATTTTATTATTTATTACTTTGGCATTTCTCTGGCTACTAGTGTTTACTTTTCCCTAATTGACTTCCTTATGCTTGAGAGAAGTTAGCATGGTAGAATGGTTATGCTTCAGATTTTCATATTTTTGTGCCCTGTTTTGATTTTATATATTTAAAGGAATTTTTAAAGTTACACTGATAGATGGGTGGGGAGGAGACAAAAAAAAAAAAAAAAAAGTTACACTGATAGAAATATACCTTTTGAAAATTACTCCTTTGGTGTTTTCCAGGTCTGTGGATTTAAACTTTCTTCCATCGGTTGATCCTGAAACAGTTCTTCAGACAGGTAAGATTTAGAAAATATTTGTGATAATAATCCAGTAAACCAATTGGATTGATTGGTTCATTAATTCAGCATGAATGGGATACCTGTGGAAGGAACTCAAGGGGAAGTTTTTCAGGACCATGGACTGGTTTCATGGAAGTCAGTTTTTCTGTGGACTTGGTGAGGGATGGTTTCAGGATGAAACTGTTCCACCTCAGATCATCAGGCATTAGATTCCTATAAGGAGCGTGCAACCTAAATCCCTTGCATGTGTAGTTCACTATAGGGTTTGTGCTGCTATGATAATCTGATGCTGCCGCTGATCTGACAGGTGGCAGAGCTCAGGTAGTAATGTTTGCTAGCCTGCCACTCACCTCCTGCTGTGTGGCCCAGGGTGGGAGTGGGGGGAACCCCAGCCTTCTAATATTTTTAAAACGTAATGATCTCTCCCTTAAAATATTTGGATTTTTTTTTATTATCTGTAAAATGAACATAAAAATTTTTATTTCACTGGGTTGCTATGAGAATTATTGAACACTCCTTAAGGGCCAGACATTGTATTTATGTATTTTCATTTTTCACTCTTCTAACAAGCCTTTGAGATAATTCGTATTATTTATCACTGCTGCCTGAGACGTACATTACAACCCAGATATCTCCAGTAGCAGTTTCACAAACTCTAGAAGAACCAAATTGTGATTTTTTCCAGTGGAAATACCCCAATTTTATTTCTAATGAGTTTTTTTAAATAATAGCTCATAATTCTAATCTTACTGTGTGCCATGTACTGTCTGAGCACTTTACGTATGTTAACTCATTTTGGTCCTGTGAAATAGATACTGTTGTCATCTCAAATTTAGGATGGGAAAGCTGAAGCATAAAAGGTTAAGTAACTCATGCAGGTTACACAGCTAGTAAATGCTAGAGTTGGGACTTGGACCTAGGTAGTTTGATTTCAAAGTATTTTCTAGGCAGTTTGATTTCAAACATTATGCTGTCCTGCTTCTCTGATCAAAATATCCACAAGAAAAATATTAAGGGTGACAGTTGTCAAAATAAATGTATTCTGATATCCATAACTTTTATGAATATATGTAAAAAGACTGCACAAACCTCTAAAAGTTATTATTTTCCAATATAACATGTAATAAATAATAAATTCTGAATACATTTGTTGTATTGATTCAGGTGTCCTAAGTTCTTCCAGTATGATATACATCTTATTTTGTTAGAGAATAAAGAAATACTTGTAATCTCTGAATTATTATATATATATATAGAAGGTACAGTAGACTGTCAGTAAAAATACTGCTGTAGATTTAAAACTTAATTCCATATATGTATATAGTTAACATTTTGAAAGCTTTTAATTTTAATTAATTGAATTAAGAAGCTTTTACAATTTGTATTTTAAATTTAATTTTATATGCTACTAGGTCCAATTTTATATGGTATTAACTTTTAAAGCAAGGATTGTTTTAGAAATTATAAATACCTCCAAACCATAATATAAGTTCAGTTGCTATATATTGAAAGCCATTTAAATTTAGGATATTGTTCTAAATAAGGAAGAGAATTTAAATATGTGTATTATTTTGATGCCTGAATATTAGTCAAACAATTTTTACCTTATTTACTTTTAAAATTGTTTAATACCTATAGCTTTAGTTGTTACACATTCTACAATTGTTGTTTCTCATGTATGAGTGGATTTTCTCCATGAGTTTGCTAAACTGAGTCACATTCACTGCATTTCTAACACTAGTATGGCCCATTATTATTCACAGTTAATATATTGTGAAGATTTTTATAGAGATTATATAAATATTATTTTGTACTTGTAATAAATACTTTCTCCCTTTAATCATTCATTATACTGTCACCTTTTTCTTTAAGTGCTGTGATTGAGAATATGGATTAATACTGAAATCCTACAACACATTGCTGGGATTAGTACCATCAGAGAGCAATCCCACAGTATAATTTTGCTTGACAGGGAAATAAGATTGTTTGGCACAGTATCCTGAGTAATGAATTCACCAATAACAAAAATGTGATTGATAGAAAAAATATATATGCCATATTTAAATATGTAGTATAGTATTTCTATGGTGTGTATATTTATGATATATAGCATTTTAATACACTATCTAGTTTACATAGTATATATCTACACACCCATACACACAGATACGTATTAATACATGCAGTTTTCTTATTTATTGTGATACATAAATTTTTAAATTGCATTTATAACCTGGTAGATATATAGGTAGACAGATAGGTTTTGAGAATTGAGAATATTGAGAAGTGAGAATTGGATTTCTTTACAGATATTAATTTCAACTATCTTTTATTTGTAAAGGGCATGAATTGTTATCCGAATTACAGCAGCGTCGATTTAATGGCTCAGATGGAGGGGTGTCATGGTCTCCTATGGATGATGAACTGCTTGCACAGCCACAGGTTATGAAATTATTAGATTCACTCCGAGAGCAATATACCCGCTACCAGGAAGTTTGTAGGCAACGTAGCAAGCGCACACAGTTAGAAGAGATTCAACAGAAAGTGATGCAGGTAGGTGTCTGATATGCATATATTTAACTCTTTTTAATTCCTTATAGTTTCAACTATGTGACTGACTCTTTACTCAGCCTTATATATACTATATAGAGAACCTTAGAATATATGAAACTGGTTTCTAAAACTGTTTTATGTATTGTTTTACAAATAGTATTTGGATTAAAGTTATATTTCTACAGTGATGATATTGAGCATTCAGCTTAGTGTAACAGAATGAACTGCAAAAATAACTGGTCACTGGAAACATCAGTTATATCAATGTATTCTTGCAATAAATAACATTTGATTATTGATATTTGATTCATTCTTAATTTCTAATAACTTAGTTTTTTGGTTAATTTAAGCATTGTGAAGATTATTTCTATCCTAGCAAAGTAACGCATGTAATTCAAATGATCCTAATATTGAAATTTTTATAATACTGATAGGAAATATTAAATATATTTAATTAATAGGAATTTTAATTTCTTTCAAAATTGATTTTTATAAGTAGGCTAAAATCAACACTAAAGGAAGGCATTTCTGATATTTAGATTACACTCTGGATTTTTATGTTGAATAAAAAAATAAATCTTTGAATATTTTATTTAAAAATACAAACTGGAAACATCCTAATTTTTAAATCTAGATTCATTGACTCATTAGATAAATGTGTATTAAGTGTTTGCTTTGTCAAAGGCATTGTGGTAGATTTTTTTATAGGCTGTAAAGGTAGATTTGGTTTTTACTATCAATAAGTTTAAAAAGAAAGTGTTAAGGGTCACAAGGACATGACTGAGGGGTTATGGGCACTTAAAGGTAGGATTATTTCTCTAGCTGCAGGTAATCTGGGAATACTGCATGGGGGAAGTAACATTTGAGATTGTCCTTCTAGAATGTATCTGATTCACCGGGCAGTGATAGATTTTGAAAGAATTGGAATTTTGTGGAGGATGAAGAGTAGCGTGAGTAAATCATAGCAGTGTGGAACCCCAAGTTCTGTTGAGGAGAAAGGAAGCAGTAGGCACAGTGGGAAGTGGATGGCCTTTCTGAGTCATAGAGTGTGATCTCAATCCCAGTTCTTCCACTTAGCTGTGTGACCATTCACGATGCTTCACCTACCTGAGCCTTGCTTGATCTGTCTTCTTTCTTTCCTCTTTTCGTCTCTTTCCTTCTTTGCTTAATTGAAACAGGAATAATAGTACCTCTTTTGAAAGGCTGGTGTTTGGAAAGAACCCAGCTCTCAATCAGTGGTAATTATTACATGTCTTTCTTTTGAACTAGACTCTACTTTAGAGGTCTAGTGTAGTTGCCGGCAAACTTCTGTAAAATTCCAGACATTTAGACTTTGTGGACCATACAGTCTTTTTGCAGCTGTAGCTGCTTTGCTTTGGCATTATAGTGCAAGAGCAGATACAGACATTGTCTAAACCAACATGTGTGGCCATTCTCCAATAAACTTTTATTTATTATACAAAAACAAGTGGTGGGCCAGCATTGGCCTGGTCAATTGATCTAGTTCATGACTCCTCAAATTAGAGCATCAGAATGTCATGGGAAAAAGGATTTGAAAGGAAGGAAGGAGTTGGATCATGGAAGATGTTGAATTTCAGGCAAAAGGATTTAGAATTTATTACATGATAACCACATATAAACTGGAGATTTCTGAGCATACGTTAATTATATGTGACTTTTTCCATGGACTCCATTCATAAGTTAGAGTTTGTTTTAAATTCAGGAAGTTTTAGCCAATTAGCTTGAGGTTATCTTTGAAAACCACAAAGACAGAATAGCAGAGCAGTACAGAAATCAGATTCTGAACCCAAGTAATCTGAATCTACCCTCTTCTACCACTTCCAAGCTGCTTGACCTTGGGAAGAAAGAACGTGCTAGTTTCTGTGTCATAGTCTCCTCTTCAGTAAGCAGAGGACAACAGGAATCACAACAACAGCAACAACAATAATACCTACTTAATAGGACCATTACAAGAATTAAGATAATTTTTATAAAATGTTTAGTGCCTGGCACATAATGAGTCTTCTGTTAATAACATGTTAGTTCATTCATTCAAAAAAAAGCTGAATGTCTTCAATAGTGTAACATTGTCCTAGGCTCAGCAATGTGATGGTGAGTAAAAATAAGGTTCCTGCTTCATGGTACATAATTACATGATGACACAAAGAGTTGTGAAATTGCAACTATGCCAGGTGCCAAGAAGGAGAGTGACAGGAGTAGGATTAGGATGAGTGAGAAGATACTGGAGATGAATCATGTTTCTTACTTGCAAGACTTGGTGTCTTCGCTTGCAAGACAATGGTGTTGCCCACCTAGGGAACATTGGGCCAGATTTGGGTATTACTGTGAATGTAAAATAGTGTGGAGAATCATGAGTTTGGTTTCAGAGTTGTTAAGTGTGAGGTGACTTTGCGACTTCCAAGAGAAGATGTAGAAGGGTAGTCCAGAACAAGTTCAGATGTCAAAGTCCAGGCTGGGATGTATTTGTTTGTCATCTGTGTGTGAATGGTAATTAAAAGCATTCATGTGAATAAAAACTGCCCAAAGAGAAAGTTGAGAGCACTAAGAAGAGCGCTTTAACCTAAGCTTTGAGAAGCTCTCACATTTAGCTGCAAGGTAGAGGAGTATACACCTGAGAAGGCGGCAGTGAAGGACTGGCCATAGATGAAAAAATGTGACAAGTTCTTTGTCATGGAAGCCAAGGGAAGAAAGCGTTTCAGGGAAGGAGTTACAGCCCTGTCAAATGCTGCTGAAAGGTTGAATAAAGGACTTAAAATGTCTATTAGAAAGCAGAAGATTGAGGTCATTGGTGACCACAGGGCATGGAGTGGCAGGGCCAGGAGCAACAGTGGAGTGAATCCAGGAATGAAAAGGAGGTGTGTGGTGAAGGAAGCAATGAGTATAGAGAAGTGGTTGATAAATCTGTCTCTGAAGAAAAGATGAGAAGTGGAGTAATGGCTGTAAATAGTGGAAGAGGGTTTGTATTCATTTGCAAGGGCTGCCGTAGCAGACTAGGTGGTTTAACAACAGAAATTTATTTTCTTGCAATTCTGAGATCAGGGTGTCAGCAGGATTGGTTCCTTTGAGGGCCATGAGGGATGGCTGTGTTCCAGCCTCTCCCCTTGACTTGACAATGGCCATCTTCTCCTTGTCTTCACATTTTCTTCTCTCTGTATGTGTCTGTGTTCAGATTTTCTTTCCTTATAAGGATACCAGTCATTGGATTAGGGTCTACCCTAAATGCCTTATTTTAGGTTAATTACCTCTTTAAAGACCCTCTCTCCTAATAAATATGGTTACAATCTGAGGTATTTGGGGTCAGAACTTCAACAGATATATTTTTGAGGGGAGAGACACAATTCAGCCTATAGGAGGGGTCAAGTATAGTTGTTCTTTCTTTTCATTATATGAAAAACCCACAGAGATTTAAAGATTGCTGGAATGTATCTATTTAGAGGGAGAGGTTGAATACACAAGAGAGAAGGAATAATTAATACTATCGAGTTCTCAACAAGGTGGAAGTAAACAGAATCAAAGCACAATAGAAGAGATTCACTTTAGAATGAAAGAGGGAGGAGAGCTCCTTCTGTGTGGCAGGAAGGACGGCCAAGGATTGCCATAGGACCATGAGGTTCCTGGACTGCTGCCTAGTAACGGACCAGTTACACAGACAGCAGGGATATGGCCGAGAAAGAGTTAATTCCTGCAGGGCATTGAGCAGGGAAATGGGAGGAGACCCTCAAACCCATCTCTTTGAGGAGTTCTGGGCCTGGAGTTCTTAAAGGGATCATGGAAGGTAAGGGGCTGGAAAACTGGGATTGTTGATTGGTTAAGGCAAGGGGGATGAAATCAGGATGTGGGAACTGCATTCTTTGGTGTGTTGGCGTCTTGTGGCGCCCCTCAGACCAGCTGAGTCAGTGAGGTCCTTCAGATCAGTTGGCATAGTAGTTTCGTAAGTATGCAGGACCTGAAGAAATGTCTCAAAGCGAAAACTTAATGTTTCACAATGTTTAGGTTGCTATCTATAGAGCAGGTAAGGGGAATTAGAATCTTGTAACAGGGTCCATGATTCTAGGTCAGTATGTACCAAACAACTATGAGGAGGCAGGTGAGACTGAGCTGACCTAATAATTAATGTTTAACATGCCAAAAGCTTAGTATATTTTTATTTCTCCCCTTCTTTTTTCCCTGATTAACTTTATAAAGTTTATGGGAGCAATTTTAGGATGAATCCAGAGGTACTCTGTGTATAAATCAGGAACAAGAAGTTTGAAGGACTTACTGCATGATGTCTTTTTTTCATAAAAAGCAAAAGGCCATCTGCTTGATGGTACAAATTGCAGGGGTAGTGGTTAAAGAGGATCAGTGGTTTGAATAGAGTGGAGGTGATTAAAAATTTTCTTTGTGGGAAATAGAAGAGTAAAATTACCACTGTCAACCTAAATAACAGACAGAGTGGCTCTCTAAAAGAAAGAGATTGTTTGCTTTAGAGAGTAGAACATTACAATGGGAATATGCATGTCATAGTAAGCTGTGTGCATATTCAGGGCAGTAAAGAAGACAAACATTTTTAAAGGAAAAAAATGAGGAGGATTACATAATTGTTTTTGAAGTCATTATCCTTGGCTGTAAAGATTAATAACAAGGGTAATGCCAGTCTGAGGGTAGACAGGTAGTGGCTGGACAGATGTCCTTGCAAAAGGATTTTTTTTTTCAGACAGGGTTTCAGTCTGCACCCAGGCTGGAGTGCAGATCATGACTTATTGCAGCCTTGACCTCCCAGGCTCACACCTTGGCCTCCTGAGTAGCTGGGACTACAGATACATGCCACCATGCCCAGCTTTGTGTGTGTGTGTGTGTGTGTGTGTGTGTGTGTGTGTGTGTGTGTGTATGTGTGTGTATGTGTGTGTGTGTGTGTAAAAACTGGGGTTTCACCATGCTGCCCAAGCTCCAGAAGTATTTTTTTGTGTAAAGTTGCAATGCCTTTGTGTATAGTTGTG